ACCAAAGTATAGTACAACAACTCTTGATAATCTCCTACCTCTTTTGTCTCTAACTCACTATTATTTGTCTATTTGTTTTCCTGAGAAACTATTTTGTAGATAATAGTATGTAAAACGATAACCATTGATAATTTCCTACCATTTTGTCTGTAATTTGCTAAGTCCCCCCTATTATTATGTCATCCTTCTTTTATTCTTTAAAAAATAAAAAAAATAAAAAAAATAAAAGTAGCTGACAGTTATAATAGATACTAATTATACTCAGGAAGAATGCATACATTCTACTACAACGCTATATGATACTTAAGGTCTTACCTTTAAAATGGAATTGGTGTATTTTATAAAGTAGGAAGTATATAGTCACTGCACATCTGAGTAGCTACTACTGAGAGATACTATAACAAAATAATAGTTATCACAATACTAAGAGTAGGGTTCTGGCACACACCTGTAATCCTAGCACTCAGGAAGCTGAGGCAGGAGGATCACAAGTTTGAGAAACGCCTGGGATATACCATGAACTCAAGGCTAGCCTGAATGACACAGTGAGACACTGTCTCAACAAATCGACATCCCCACCCAAAAAAAAGTAGGGCTCTGGAATCAACCTGTTTAATGTGAAATCCTGATGCAATCACTTCCTAGCTGGGTGACCTTAAACAAACCTTCAAGTTAGTTAACCTCTTTGAGCATCCTTTTTCCATACGTTCTCTGTTTCTTTTCTCTGTCTGTCCCTGTCTCTGTCTCTCTCATGTCAGGGTCTGGCTATGCTGCCGAGGCTGGACTCAAATTCGTTATCCTCCCACTTCAGCCTCTGATAGCTGGGATTACAGGTGTCCACTGCTGCACCTGGCCCTGCCCTCTGTGAGGGATAACTAGGCTAACTCTTTAGGGGACTGTGGTAAGGACCACACGAGTGAACTCGCGAATGTTAAGCACATGGTCTACCAGTGCCCATGTTGGGTTGTGACAACAGCAAAGTGATGGAGAACTAACGTAACAGCACGCATGCACACAGACAGTGCAGCAAATGGTTTTCCCACACGGGAATGGCAGCAGCCAACCTAAAACTAGCAAGGTCACAGCAGTACCTGAAAACACAGGGCTACTGTCCAGGCCAAAACAGAACACTTCAAAAACGTTACCGCGAAAACTAAACGTAAAGAGGAAGAGGCTGCTATTCTCACTGACAGGGAACATGGGTAAGGCGTTGATCCCACTGATAACTAAGGTGAAGTTCTCAACCTTTAGAGGTGGTCACTACTACGACTACTCAGTATAATTATACTACTCAGGGCAGACCATGTACAACGTGGGAGGAAAATGTCTATGTGCAAGCCAAGAAGGAAGGCTATTAAAAACACTAGCTCTGCCCACACTTCTCCTTTCTTTTGTTTTTTGAGACAGGTAGTATATAGTTTAGGCTGGCCTTGAACTCACTATGTAGCCCAGGCTAGCCTCAGACTCATAGTGATCCTCCTGCCTCAGCCTTCCAAGTGTTGCTATTAAGAGGTGTGCATCACCATGTCTGGTGCCTGCTCAAACCTTCATCTCAGACTTTTAGTGTCTAGAACTTAGAAAAAAGACACTTCTTTTCAAGGCACTCACACCAAAAGAAATATATAGTTTATGTATTTGTATCACAAGTGTATTATATATGTACCTGTCAACATATTAATGCATTTACATATTAACAATATATATTTATATGTTAACGTAGATCCACGGCATTCAGAAATGGCAGCAAACAGCTTCTTCCTCAGTAGAGGAAAAGCTGCTCTGTCCCGAAGCCTCTTACCGGCTTCTCCAGGATCGTCTTCACGTAACATGACCGCACTGGCCTCCTCCGTGACGCTGTTTGGCTCTGCTTTCGTGAAGAGCCCCAAATGCCGCGCTGTGAATGCAGCTGTCCAGTTACTGTCGTCCAGATTCGTCACCTGACAGCAAAACCCGCAGGTGAAAAGGAGGGACTCGACAGGGTGAATAACACCTTAACAGTAAATAAGGCTTTTACGAACTTCTACAGCAACTTCTACATGTTTCTCACTTTTGAAAGCCAATGGGTTACTTTGTTAAGGAAATTACAGGTTTATAAAAAGTTTTCTTCTGTGTATTACTCCACACTTTTTAAAAAGGCCAATGAAGGTAACATTTTACAAAATTCAAGCTGACACTAATAGATAAAATAAAGTCCTACCTATATGTTAGCATAAATTTTTCATTTCTGGGGAACTGTACAGGACAGATAACCCAATTTCTTCAAAAAATGAATGGCAATAAAGAAAGGGAAGAGGGAAGGCTTAAGAATAATCAATCCAGCATTTGTCTACCACGCTCGCTTCAGTGGATCCTGATTAAAACAAACCACATAAGCCAGGTATGGAGGGGCACACCTGCAATCCCAGACTCGGAGGCTGAGGAGGCCGAGTCTGAGGCCAGCCTGGGCCACTTAGTGGGTTCAAAACCTGCCTGAACTGCATAATGAGACCTTACCTCAAAAAACAAATAAAACCCCACAACACAAACACAAACCCAAATAAACAAAAATCCAAACACAACAATTTAAAATAAAAAAGCTGACTAAAGAAGAAACCTGAACACTTAATGAAATACACATTATAGTAACTACAATCGTGTACCACATAACGTTTTGGTTAGCAACAGACCACATACATGACAGCAATGTCACAAGGTTAGTAATATTGTCGCCACCTTAGTTTGTTAAGCATACTTATGATGTCACAGGATAAAAATTGCTGAACAATGCACTTTTCAGAGGCATCCTTGTCATGAAGTGATGATTACCCATATATATATACACACATATATGTATATATATATATTCGAAATGATAAAGGAATTACTCTATGTATGTGTTGGTCAGACATGTCAAACATACTGCACTTATGTTAAAGTACCCTTGTTATGTCACAGGGATATATCATGAACTATGCTGTCTGGGCACTCTAAGGGAAATGGACACGGACATAAATGAATGAAATCGGTCACAAGTGCCCAGTTAGCTGGCAACGTTTGGAGTTTGGCAACGGGCACACAGGGACTCCCTGTACGACTCTGCTTCAGACATGTTTGAAATATCCGTAGTAACAGTTATCTTTTACTGAAAATCCAGGTGTGAGCAACAATGAAAAATGTTATCTTTAAATCAGCCTAAGCTAGAGATGTGTGCTGAGAACCTATGTGTTCAGCAGGGTCATAACTCTGGGCTTTGCAGAGCTTAGTTTCTGCTACTGGAAAATGATTACTAGTTCACTTCCTTCTGAATAGTTTACTTCCTTCAGTCTGAAGATCAAATTAAAAATCTTTTTTTTCCGAGACAGGGTCTCACTATGTAGCCCCGGCCAAGTCTTGAGTTTGTGATCATTCTGCCTCAGCCCCCCAAGTACTGGTATTACAGGAGTGAGCCATTGGGCCTGGCTTCGAAGTAGAAATCTTCAACAGCAACACTTTTTCATTTTCAGAAAAATACTTCGGCTGGGCATGGTGGTATAAGCCCATAATACCAGCATTTTGGGAGGTTTAGAAAGGAGGATTGCAAGTCTGAGCCCAGTCTGGACAACTTAGCAAGATCTCGCCTCAAAATAAAAACCAAGCTGGGTGTGGTGGCACACACTTGTAATCCCAGCACTCAGGAGGCTGAGGCGGGAGGATCGTTCCGAGTTCGACGCCAGCCTGGGCTACAAAGTGAGCTCAAGGCCAGCCTGAACTGCATAGCAAGACCCTGTCTCAAAAAGACAAAAAAACAAAATACAAAAAACAACAACAAAAAAAAAAACCGAAAAAGAGTTGGGGATGAAGCTAACATTAATGCCTTCAGTTCGAATCCCAGTGCCACAGAAAAAAGAGACAGAAACAATCTTTGGTCAACCAAATCTTGGCTGCATACATATGGTGAAAGAATTAACCAAGGTAATAATTTTACTTACTTCAGGTTAACCTGAGAGTCCTTTCATGGCTGACATTGAAATTGGCAAAATAAATCCAGAAAATACCTTTGACTACAAAAATAATTTATCGCCAAAATAAACTAGCTTCATAAGCAGAGCAAAATACTCAGTGACTACATCACCAATAACTACATCACCAATAACTATTAACACTAAAAGTCCATGACTATAATAAACTCTGTGTGTGCGCGCGCGCGTGTGCGTGCGTGCGCGCACAGTGCTGGGGACTGACTCCAGAGACCTGTACATGCTAAGCACACACTCTTCTACCGAGATACATCTCTAGCCCCACTATAATAAATTTTTAAGACGGATTTGGGGCTAACGGTGTGGCATAACGTCAAAGCACTTGCCTATCATGTGTGTGGACCTGGATTTGATCCATAGCACCAAAAGAAAAAACACAAAAGATGGATTTAACCTTCTATGATAAGGGAGAGGTTTATCAGGACGAAATTACCTTTCAGAAAACACCCAATTTTGACAAATGTAAAAGTGTGTAAATAAAAACTTCTGTGATTTAATACATCACAGAGCCAAAGACAGAAGAAACATTTTAATGTTGGTTTTGGAACTAAATGTGCTATAATACTCTCCTTCTTCTCAGACATAATGCTTTCTTTTTCTATAGGTATTTTTAATATTGAAGTGAAGCCAGTCAACATCACTGTTTACATAACACTTTTTCTGCAATTTTCAATTCTGTACCACAGTGACTCTTCATGTTTTTGTTTTTGTTTTTTTGAGATAGGGTGTCGCTATATAATTCAGGCTGGCCTTGAACTTGCTTAAGTAGCCCAGGTTGGCCTTGAACTCACAGTGATCCTGCCTCAGCCTCACGAGTGTTGAGATTACAAGCATGCACCACCAGGCCTGGCCTGACAGTGATTCATAAGAGCATCTCACCTACTTTCCCCTAAACTGTCTTTTATCTCAAGTAGAAAAAGCAATCAAACTCTCCTATACTTTCACAACACAGATCACGTCTGTCATCAACGTCTGAGGGCTTTCCCACACATGAGGAAATCAACTCAGCAGCGGATACCGGCTAGGTGTCTTCTAACTCAATTCTGACTCTACTGTCAGATCCCACAGGTAGACAACATTTTTCTTCCATATTATACTTTTCATGTATTACTCTTAGTGTTCTACTTTCTCACGCTTCAAAACTGGGGTTAGGGGCCAGGGATATAGCTCAGTGGCACAAGCGCCTGCCTAGCAAGTATAAGTTCCTGAGTTAGTAAACTGTCAGATGAAGAAACATTTTAACTGATGTCAATGTGTACTGTGACAGGAGGTACTAAAAAAGGTTTGTTTTTAAAGTGTCTAGCCAATTATGTCAATCCATATATCCTAGAGTTACTTTTAAAGCATGAGTTCAATTTTCATCAAAAGGCTTTTAAGCCACACAGAAAAAGGGAGAAACTTTTAGCACTGACTTATACATACCATGGACAGATTTCCCAAAAACCCTGAAGACTGTGAAAGCTGAGGAGACCGACCTTCTGTTCCCAAAATGCAGGAAATATCTGGATGTTTCGGTAAGCTTCGGTTTGGAGTGACTACAAATAAGAAGTTAATAAAAGAATGCAAGGTATATGAGCACTGGTCATCAAAACCAAGCATGCAAACCAAATAAATACTAACCAAATGAGTACTCTAACCCAATAAATATTCTAACCAAATAAATACTGTTAACATTTCCATGATATAAAGGTTTAATGTATTTTTCTCAATTTGAAATTTTGGTGTTATTGAGCCAATCAGGGAAAACTTTACTACAAATAGGCTGTTTCATCGTAATATACTGAGCAGTTAAAAAAAAACCAAACACTAACTAATGAATCTTTCATATTCTAATTTTATAAAGAATACTGAGGCAATATAGGATAGCAGACTTGTGTTTTGCTAAACAAGGCTATCCATATTATTATGGATATTACCCATATTAACTTTTACCCATATTAACTTTTAGCTATAATACCCATATTATTACCCATATTAACTTATTACCCATATTACCATATTATTACCCATATTAACTTATTACCCATATTAACTTATTACCCATATTAACTTTTCTAAGTACCACTTTCAGCTTTGGTAAAATAGAGGTAACAAGTATTTATGTCACAGTTACTATATATTTATGTGCAATACAGTATCTTGTTCATGACACCACTTTAACAAATAACTATAATCATTATGATTTGTGTTTTCTTGTTGATATCATAACCAAATATTTATTTATGTAGTCTGTTGAGACAGGGTTTCACTATGCAGTTCAGGATGGCCTTGAACTCACTTTGTAGCCCAGGGTGGCCTCAAACTAGCAGGAATCCTGCCTCAGTCTCCCAAGTGCTAGGATTACAGGTGTGTGCCACCACATCCGGCTCTGTAACCAAGTATTTATTGTGCACACCGTACATGTGCGCTACTATTACTGTTATTATTATACTACATTACTGTTATTATTAAATACTTTTCTCCTCAGTATTGGGGACTGAATTGAATTTAGGCCTTCGCATTGACCTACATACCCAGCCCTTTTTATTTATTATTATTTTGTTACTCAGGCAGGGTTAAAATTTATAAATCCTCCTGACTCAGCCTCCCAGAGTGCTGAGATGACAAGTGGGTGTCCAGTTTATTAAAAACTTGAAAAGCAAAAAGTCTTACAAGGCTGTCGAAATAAGCTAGGAGTTCGAGGAATCATTTGGTTTCTTGGTGTAGTACTGCCAAGATTTTCATCATGGGAGGCTCGAACTTTAGGAAGGGTTAAGAAAAGTTTTCCATGTAGAAAAGAGATCACTAAAGTTACAATTACCTACAGTATGACTGCACAAAATATGTGAATACATTTTTTGAAGAACTAAGATTTTAAGGCTAATCTATGCAAAGAATAAATAACTAATTTTCTCTGCCAGTTAAATTCTCAGGTGTCAGTCTTAATTAACTATACACTGACCTAAGAGCTCTCAAATAGAAAAAGGAAATTAAATCTCAGCACATGCTACTCACAATATGAGAGCTATGAAACAATTCCCTGTTTTAAAGGGCAACATAAATTGTAATTGCATTGAATTTCATTGACAGCATTCTATTTACCAAATAAAGGTGTCTGTGGAGTGAGCAAAACTAGTTTCTATAGTATTTTATTATAGCTAATGTTTAATAGTTCTCATAAAAAGAAAAATTCTACAATGACTCAAAACATGCAGCCATTTATGTAATCCCCCAAATACAAAGGATACTTAAAACTCTTTTTTGAGCACTCTGCTTCCTTGCAGTCCGTGTCACCTCTGGCTCTCGGATTACAGGGGACAGCATCTCTCCAAAGCCACTCCTAAAATAGTATAATTAAGATTTTTTAATGCAGTATTTGCAAGCAACTTTATGATCACAATTGGTGCAAAGGTCCTTGAGTCGTTCCAATAGCCAAGGTTTAGATCTTTTTGCCAGGCATGACCTCCTGGCTCCAGACCCTGCTTATTCCTCAAGTTCCTCTCGAGTCTTTCCTATACAGAGTTCTTTGATTTTCTTTTCTTTTTTTTGGTTTTGTTTTTTTTTTGGTTTTTCTCCGGTACCGGGAACCGAACTCACGACCTTGCGCTTGCCAGGCAGGCGCTTCTGCCGCTGAGCTAAATCCCCAGCCCCCAGAGTTCTTTGATTTTCTAACACTCGTAACTTTTTTTTTTTTTTTGAGGAAAAGTTTATTCTTTTTTTTACTTAAAGAGGAAAAGAAAAAAACATTTCAAAACATGATAGGAAATTAACAATGGTTATTATATTGCGCATTGTTATCTTCGAAACAGTTGCTCAGATTACCAGATACAGACATGCAAAACTGATCAAATAACATAAGCACTAACTGTTCTTTCCACTGAGTAGAAATCAGTACAATTATGTTTGCTATCTTGGGTATATACATACAGTTATACATAACTATATATGCATGTATATATAACATATGTATTTTTTCTCCCTCTTCCTTTTTTCCTCTCCCCCACCCCAGTTGTTGTTTCCTTTTGAGCAGTTTCAGGAAAGGGTTATTTTGCCTTGCAATTTATACAGGTTTTAGTTCATAGTTGAT